CCATTTCAGGAATCCAAGTCTTTGTCAAGGGGCATCAAGTACGCATGTAAAGTATGGCGCTTGTGGTCAAGTTTTAATAACGGGTTTTGCCCTCACACCAATAACATTATACCTGTATATCAGTGTAGGGGCAAACTCTGTTATTAAAATTTAACTTCTGCCTGATACATCTTGAATGGGGCTCTCTTTGAATATTTCTGGGTGTCATAAATTAGGGAACTTGTGAAAATATGACCAAGCTGTTCAGACCTACATGTACCAGTGTAGTAATAAGCGGTAATGTACTGGTACATGTATGTACATGTACAGCTTTCTCAATTTTGTAACTTTTCAAAGTCACTGGATTTAAGAGTGATGGGCCCAATATCAGAAAGCAAGCAATGTAAACTAAATTAACAGTGAGCCAGTTGAAAGTCGTATGGTGTGTTTTGTACTTTGGCTGGTAACCAGTTTTTGTTTTAAGCAAATATTTTCTGTGTTGATGACACGTACGTTCCCGTGCTTAGCCGTTCTGCATGCGTGAAATTAGACCAAGGAGAACATGTACCGGGACATGTTGGGTTTTTGTGGTTAAAATTTCACATGCACATGTACAGTTTGCAAGCCAGTTGCTACGCAAACAGTCTTGATTGTGCACACCAACAGTGCTGCTCTACGGACACACGTGCCCTCATCTTTTCTCCAACTTCGAGGTCCAGTCAGCAGCCAGCCCACAAAGTTTCCCTGTCCCCGCCCACGTACCCGTTGAGTCATCCTGCCATCAAAACTGATAACAGTTAACATGTATTGTCAGTTAACTCCACACATGACTCACATCCTAGTCATCTATTGTGATGTGTTGTCTAGGTGTTTCCTACTGTTTATGAGTTGTTCCATTCTACCAGAGGGCCAGGTTCAAGTGTGTATTCCAGGTAGGCCTACAGGTGCATACAGTACATATTGTAAGTTCTACTGAAATTACTAAACTTCATGCACCCTACTCCATTTGGTAAATACAGTCGTATTTTCTGATTTGTTTGTTGTTGGTTCAACTTGATAAATTCGAAAAGTCAGATTATTGTGAGCTTGTTTGTGTATATTTTGTGCACGTTTATTTTGCACACACATTCTGGTGCCAAGTATATTAATGGGACACTTTTGAACTTCTTTTGACGAAGCTCAGAACCGGGTTGTGGAGACAAAAATGTGTCCCCATGACATTTTTAGCCGACCGTAATGCTTGTAAATATTTCAGTATAAAGTGTGGTCCCTATAGATAACCCAGTGACAAGTAGGCCTACTTATGACTGTAGGTTACTCTGAGTCATTACTCCATGCTACTCACATGGAGTAGTACAGAGTAGTGACTCAAGAGTTCTCGGAATACTGAGGTGCAGGTAGGCTTCCACCACAATTAGGGATAGTTTCTTTTCGTTCGGACAGTCAGGACTGAGTTGTGTGGACAGAACATTATTATCCTCAGAACGTTTGTGGCCACCACAAATTTGTGTTTCAACACGAGTGTGGCCCCTACAACTGCTGAGCAAGTAACGGTATGGGTGTATAGTGATTTGCATCATTTGCACATGTCCATAAGAGCACCGATAATAAGAAGGTGATGCTTATTACTAGGAAAACTTTATTACTAGGAAAACTTTAAGTCCTACCGGTATGTCTCTGTTTTTCTTTGTTTTCTGTTACAAATAAATAATACAAGGTACCGGTACCCGTTAGAGGAAGGTAATTTTTTGGAAGTCCTTGGGACCTTGTTACGACAGTGTTCCACTGTACATGTACATGCCAGTAGGTATGATATAAGATATGTATGATAGTTTGATCATGTCACTGTACATGTACCGGTCTTGGTCTTGACATGAATTTACTAAGATACAGGTAGCCGTTATTTGCACTATCCAAGTATGCATGTCTTATAATTGGCTTAGCTTGATTGGTAGCTCGTTTTTGCAGGGGAAACCATGTGAGCTCAGCCTTGTCAGGAGTGAAATTGACCCTTTATCTGAGGACGAGAGCAAATATAACAATGCACGATGAATAGGGGATCACCGGTTAGCGACCCCCAGTCAGCCAAACATGATTGATTTTTTTTCTTCTGGCCCCCATAGTTAAGTAGACCCACTGGACATATGCCTGGAACAAATCAACTAAGAACTGATGGAAAGGAAAGGGCAGAAAAATTAATTTCCTGTCTAATATCTTTGCCATTCAGATTAGACCATTTGATCCATGGGTAGTGATTTTTCTATAAAGTTGATTTGCAGCCCACTGACTCAGTGTTGACCTTGCAAGATGGTCTTGTTCATTTGTAAGATGAACATCTCATTTGATTCAAAGAAGTCATTTTTGTGGGTGATTCCACAAATTAGGGGTCCATTTTTTGTGTCCTTTTCATGTCTCACATATGATTTTGTAAGTTCAGAACACATTTTTGTAATTTCCAAGAGTGATGAATTTATACACATTACCTGCCAAACAAATAGTAATAGTTTGAAATCGATTCCGGTGATCTTTCCATGTCAAATAACAAAGGTCAGATGTACCTGTACTTGTAACAGGGACACAAAAATGTCACACCTTTGAACCCGTAATTTCTTTAATTACCCGTATTCATGTTTCTGATCATCTTTTTTTTGGAGGGGGGACAAAGACTGTTCCAAGCCCTCGTGCTATTTATTCAGAATGAATGTTTAACTGTCTGATGTCTTTGAACATGCTTAGTGTGACATCACCTTTTGGAAATTAAAATATGTTTTGTCTGAATTTTTTGAAAACAAAAGTTCAATTAAAAGAATAGATGGAGAAATGACCAGTATGTAATTTTGTTTTGTATTGATTTTCTGTCTTTTTAGCCCAGAAATGTAGCACCCATATGGTAGGTTTACCTAGGTACACATTACGCTGTCATTACCCTGTCAATTCAACAAACGGATAGATACAGGTGTAGCCATTACGGAACTCATCCACTTACATGTACGTGTATGTTTATAAAACAAAAATCTGTTAGGGGACACACAGTGACAATCTCATCAGCTCTCCCTGCTGTTTGCTTTTGTGTTTGCGCATTCTGCCTGGGATTATAGACTTGTGACGTCCATGTCCCAACCGAGTAGCGTGAAATCACCCGATTGCTTCTGCCAGGCCCGTGCTGGGAGCCTTGGGCTGGATAGGAACCCTTGCATTAAGTCGTCTGTCAGCCATGTATATTACGTGGGTGGCCTCCAGCAGCGGGCATTACTACGCTAGAAATCAGTTTTGCTTTGAGGGGATGGGGTTTTGTTTGCACCTGATTTTATTCTGATGGTTAAGTACTCTTTGAACTTACGACCTTCACCTTGATGTGCATTTGATACATGCGCATGCATGTCTTGTGTACAGTGACTTACATGCTTGGTTCCAAGGACGTTATGAAATTTTTTCCTCCTAGAATCTTATTGTTTTTTGGTAAAATATGATATAGCCAGCTTATATACCACAGAGTCCAACAGTTGGAACACTCATCTCTATTCGTAGCAAATCACAATTATTTGTTTTCATATTTTCATGAATAGAACAACTGAGATTTGTGAATAGAAGAACCCCTTGGCTCTAGGACTAGTAATAGATTTAAATTGAGAGATGTTGTCATTTCAAAATCAGGAAATTTCCTGGTGATTCAGCTACGGTAGTTCATTAAGCAAAGCACCGAGGCCAATATCAGTGTTTGCAGCCAGTACAATGTGAACCATAGATTTCCAAAATACATGTTGATAAATGATCAGCTTCCTGACAAAATAAAGGTTTGTCCAAGCTAGTTGAAGTGGCGATGAATTCAAATTGAACTTTGTTGAGAAGTAAATGACTCATCCGTGGACGTGCATACTAGTAGCAAGTTTAGATCCTTTCCTTTTCCTATTCAAAGTAATGCATGTGTACAGTACTATGGCCGTACAGGGAAATACCTGTACGTGTAATGTGTAAGTTAGTCACTGTAGTCATTGTTAGATGCAGTAAAGGTTTTGGGTGGTGTGATATTTATTGTTTATTCTGTGTATTATTAGCTTTTGGATGGAGTTGGATGCTGTTATCTTGTAGTTTTATTCATCCCCACAACTTGGTCCTGACTTTCCAAACAGCAGAAGTTGTCCCTTCAATGCTGTGAAGACCAGGGCATCCAGCCATAAGCAAATTTCACATGCGTCCAAGGAGGCAGCAATATGCACCACCCTTCCCACCCCACACCCCCTACAAAATGCAGAAATTGTTGTTTGTTTTTAAATTATCCTGAGAGAAAGGCAACTTTTGGGGGACTTGATTGTTGGTCCACCCCTCCCCCCTCCAGAGTGTGCAAGAAATCTTAAGGGCCAAAAACATGTGCAGAAAATATGCCCCAATTTGTGTCTCCCCGCCACCTGAAAAATTGGTCCTGGATCTGCCCCTGCACACCGAAAGCCTAAAAAAAAGTGGTTTGTCCCTTGCTTGTAAAGTACATGTGCATGTACACACCTACCTGTTTTTACATACAAAGGGTGGACATTACTTTGTTCTCCTGTGGTTAAGAAAACTTGAGGATAATGCTCCTTTTTCTCCAACTTGGATAACTCCTTTGAGCTAGATTTTTTTATGATAATTTCCTGGACTGTTCCTCTTCATTTTGCCACAGATAACCTTGACCCCAAAATGTCTCTGAAACTGTTTTCAGAGAGGGGGAAACATTGTGTGGACATGTGCGAGTCCACACTACGCCATCGCACCCTACATTATGCGGACTTCTTTTGTGAAGAGGTCCACACTATGTATGCCATGCCTGCAGAGAGAGAGACACACACAGTATACTATTGTAGTTACAAATTAAAAACTACTTGTTTTTAAGTGTGTGCTGCTCCTGAGTGTTTGTCACAGTGCTGCATGTACATGTCATGTCCATGAAGCTCAACATTCTCTTTTGGGACACTTGTTGTGTGACTCATCCCTGCATCCTTGTGTACAGTGAACCTGCACGACGGTACAAGTGTACATGTACTAGTACGGCACAGCACGTCTGAGGGAGGGATTGAAATAGACGTATTTTGTGCATTGACGTGTACAAAGTGCAGACTGCTCATTGTGAATAAATGGACATCGGAAAACGGTTGTGCTTTCGTGGATTATTATCACCGAGGACTTAACAATAATTGTTACAGTTTATACATCACCTGTGCCTTCATACCCTTTCATCCCGGAGGGGAATTTCTTGAATTGGAATTATATCCGCTGATGAGAAATTCTTCAATCAATGGCTTCTGTGTAAGTTGATCAAAGGGTACTGTTTGAGAATCGAGCCTAATGGGTGTGTCTGTATGCTATGATGGAGACCTGCATGAATGTGTGTACAATTTAACGGTGTGCGTGACAGGTGTAGAACTGTTTTCATTCATCTGCGATCTGTAGTCTTGCGTGAGTGTAGCCTCCCTCATGGACAGCAATTACTCAGTTTAACCCTACGTAGTACAACAAATTACTACTCGTAGCAAAATGTAGTACTCGGCCCTGTCGCTTGTAAGAGGACATGACCGTTATCTAATGGTGTCAATAGGGTTAAAAAAGTTGATGTGCTCATAGTGAAATTGTGCAATGAAAAATGCAGTTGAATTATAGTAAACTAACAATGTGTGCATTAATTGGAATACACCTGTACAGTGCGTAGCCATGTACTGTACATGTAACCCATTTGACCTTTATACATGTACAGTAAGTGATTTGACCTTAATACATGTACACGTAAGTGATTTGACCTTTATACATGTACACGTAAGTGATTTGACCTCTATACATGTACACGTAAGTGATTTGACCTTTATACATGTACACGTAAGTGATTTGACCTTTATACATGTACACATAAGTGATTTGACCTTTATACATGTACATGTAACTCATTTGACCTTTATACATTTACATGTAACTCATTTAACCTTTATACATGTACATGTAACTCAGTTGACCTTTATACATGTACATGTACATGTAACTCATTTAACCTTTATACATGTACATGGACAGTAACTCATTTGACCTTGATACATGTATGAGTGTACATAGATGTACATGTACATACAGTACGCATGCAAATGTACATGTATGACAGAGTAAGAGACAATCAGTGACCTGTCTGATCACTTTTCATGCTTGAGATTACCACCCTAAAAATCAAAACTGAATTTCAATTTTCAGTTATTCTCCTTGACCCACCCACCCACTATTTCGAAAAAAAGAATTGAAATATAAAAACATTGAAAATTTTGAATGGCCCCTAACTAACTTCTTTCTTTCCAGTTGTTGCCATGCTACATTTGTCATCAAGCTTTTTTTGGAACTCAAGTTATTTTGCCATATCCCCACTGAGCTCACTTGACTTCCTGCTTCTGTTCAAGGGACTGTGCACAGTGTATTCTGTAACCACATATCAACCGGAAATATGACAGTATGCAATGACTTTCATGTGTAGTTTGTAACTTGGGTTCAAAGCCATGGACGTGTACATGCCGTGTATCATGTCATTAATAATATGTCTTGCTACATTTCTCAGTTTTATCTCATAATATTTATTTCATGGATAGAGTGTTTTACAACGACTTACACTGGAGGATATATCCAGGACATGTGATAGCAACTGCAAATATGCTATGGACGGAATGTACATAGTGTCGTGTAATTTGATGACATGCACACATGTACAGTGTGTTAAACTTTTCCTGAACACTTGACATTCCAATTTTCTACAACATTGATGACAATCAAAACCAAAGTTAGGCAAGCTAAATTGACACAAAAAGGCATCAGTCGTGAAAATAAAAAGGTTAGTTTTTGCACTGTCATGCCACGTACATGTACATGTACAGTGTACCAGGGTGCACATGTACATGTACATTGTAGGTAACAGCACTACATGTACCACAGTTTGGAGTGGAACAATGTTTGCAAGAGTGACATGTACTGATAGCAGCATTGTTACTAATACTATTAGAATACATGTTGGCAGTTGATGAACCGGGAACAAAATTACTATCATATACCCATATGGCGAGTCCCTGACCTGTGTACATGTACACTACATGTACATAAATACATGTACATGTACACTACACTACAAGTGATCATTCTTCCGTGAGACATGTACGTACATTAATGATCTAGGAGTGTACATGTACATGAGCAACACATGCCACATTGTTTCATCCCTAATGTTCTGGTGTTGCCAACCAACAAGGGTATAGTTATTTTCACATGTAGGTGTTGGCTACCTCCGTTGTTGCTCAACAACATTTCATTTTGATTGGCCCTTGAGGCAGACAGGTTGTTTGTGTTCCAACCCCTTGAATGCTCTTTGGGCCCTCGTCAGAATCGGCTCGGAGGTAATGTAATTACTTGGGTAGCTCTAGAGGGAAGAGTCCAATCAATCCTGTTAACAAACTGGGTTGAATTGGCAGAGGAGGTGGATGTTTTTGTTTACCTTTATCACAGTCTCTACTGTCATGACTGTATATAAATAATGCAGAACTTTGCATATGGCCAATGAACTACAGGCAGTCCATCTGAAAGGTCATCATCCAGTGGGGTGTACATATAGTGCATAGTTAGAATGCTTGAATGAGGGTGAACAAACGTTTATGTACACCAGGAAAAGAGAGAATCACAGCATGTATGTACACATGTACATGCACTAGTATGCTGATCCTCTGGGCTGGGACTTTTGGGACCAATTCCTACAAGTACTCCAGCACATTACACATGCATGCATGTGTGCAAATTTGCACGTTGTACGTACATACATGTACCGGTACATTACATGTGCATTGTATATTACAATGCATATGCATTGTACGTTACATGTGCGCTGTGCATCACTTGTGTGTTGTACACTGCTGTGCGTTGTACGGTACATGTACATGTGCGTAAGTTGTACATTACAAATGTGTTGTACACTGTTCTTTACATGTGCTTTGAACATGTACCGGTACATGTACATTAGATGTGTGTTGTACATTTGTACATATACAATTCATGTTTGTATATGTAATGGTAAGGTACTTTTATACATGTATTTTGCAGCGTGTTTTATGATGTTGATTGTTGGGAAAAAACCTCGAGATGATTCATATATAGTGTACGGTACCAATGGGAAATGGGATTGGAAATGGGATCCTAGCTGTGTGCATCTCCCCAATAATAGCTGCGTATCATTGGCATGGCTCAGCCTAGCAGGGCTTGCCACGCCAGGGCCAGGCCAACCGTGGGTGGATAATGCAATAAGCTCCCATCAGCTGCCAGCGTCGATCAGTCCCCCTGATGGGGGGACGGAGGGGCAAACCCACGTCATGGGCTGAGAGGAGGAGCCAAGCGAGCAGAAGAGGGAGGGCAAATAGTGTGTACCCGCCGGGCTGGGATTGAGTGTGGACATGACAGCTGGATTGAGACACATGTGCACAAAAGCATGTCATTTGGTTACATCATGGACTTTGAACTCCTTAATGTCGCTTTAAAGAGACAGTTGAAGGAAAAACAAATCTCCTTTTCAATACAAATTTATCCAGGCACACTTTATACAAGGGTTTTCTGCTTTTAGCATATTTGATTTTGTTTTATTTTGCTTTCTAGCAGTATGTGTGCACTTCCTTCCTGTATGTTGCTCGTGCCAGAATAGTGAAGATTTTAATTTCATTTTGAAACGTATAGTTGCATGTACATGTCCCGTAATATTGATAGAGAGCAATTCACAGTTGAAACTAAGACCTTCTCTTTCTGATGCAAATTGAGATGCATACCCGTAGATGTACAGGTATAGCACATTTTTGGATGTTTGCAAAAAGGACAGTACCTGTAATTCATTGTATTCATATTTACAGTCTGTCTCCTGTGCTGAGTGGATTGATTCAATGTACATAAAATATTCAATAAATTCATTGCACATCGATAAGGCCTCAGGAGAGGTGGGCTTAATCAGTGTCCATCTGTCTGAACTGGACGTACACGTATGTGTACATATATCTTCCACATTTGATTCATGGGCTGTTATCCGGCATATCGCGCCGCACTGTCATGCTGTCTTTTTTTTTATCTGCGGAATTCCACGCTGCTGAAGCATGTGCGAGTGCAGGGCGCGGATTTGACGTGAATTCCATGGAGACCAGTAAAAAAAATTCAGCAAGCTCTTTATGGTATAGGTGCATATGAACATGTACAGTAAAAATACACCTGTACATTGGGCCACATGCAGACCACCATGTACTGTACAGCTTGTGTGTTGGCAAAATGTTCAAGCAGTTCAAAGTACATCTATGATGGTCCCTGCTGTTGACAAGAGGAGGAGTCCTAGTGCCATAATGACTAATTAAACAAACAATTTTGCACACCCTAGTGTAGGCTGGTGCACGAGTACCACACCATGGCTGGGGCGGGGGGCAGGAAATTAAGTGCAAAACTCAGTTTCTGTGCTGTTAATTTAACTGGCTTGTTTGTACAGCATCCATGTACATGTACATGAAATGTATTTGCTGTTGATATTTTTTTTATTAAGGTTTCTGCTTGTGGTTGCAATGAAGTAGTCCATGTACATGTAAATGTAATTCTCCCAGCAGCAGTAATTCACATGTTGGAACCATGCCTTATGGCAATATTAATATTTTCAATTGAATTTGTGAAGTGTACGGTACAATGCAGGTAACTTCAGCTGTTTTGTTTCATGCCTTTCCTGACTGTACATGTAGTGTACATTTATCATTGTTCAGTTCATGAAATGTTTCAGTTGCATTTACATGTATATGTACATAGATGTGCATTCCAAATGTTTCTCAGTGTAATTTTTTTTTTTTTTTTCAACTTCATTGATATTTACAGTCCAGAAGGGTTGAGACGATTTCTTCGGTCGGTTTTCGGGAAGAATCCCCAGCGAGCCAGGATCACCATGCCAACTCCCAAGGCATTACCCCTGCACAAAGTGATAATGGTGGGCAGCGGAGGGGTGGGCAAGTCGGCCCTGACGTTGCAGTTCATGTACGACGAGGTGAGGTTATAGAGGGAGATGCCAGTGGGAGTGGTTCTCAGCAGAGGTGGCTAGGGATCAGAGAGCGCATTTGATTAATTACTCAATACCTGGGCAGCTACAGTACGTTCAATTTGACACTCTTGTGACGTCTTGTGCTTGGGCGTGGCCCAAGTGACCAGTTCACCCAGCTGGTTAATATTTGGGGTAGAATTCCCCAATACTATACTGGAATTTGAATGCTTTACATTAGTTTAAAGATGCAAAGGAAAGCTGACACCATCGTGAAAAGGCCAGACGTGCGGTTGAATGTCCATTGCTTGTAGGTTTTCGAATTCCCTTTGCAAATTTTGCACACTGCATTACCTCTTAAACCCGTCAAGGCACCTGGAATGACTCGCAATCGTTCATATACTTGTAAATGTATTACTACAGATTGCACAAGTCCATCAGTGCCTATGGCAAAAGCATGGGTATTATGTGTGGGTGAAGTAATTGAACATGCTGCACATCAGTAGGCCATGTACGGATTGACTGGCTGCGGCTAGGAGTAATGCATATGTCTTTGGAAATAGCTGCAGCCGCTAGCTAGTAGCCACGTTTTATTCCCAGCTGGAGCCACGTGCCAGTAATTTGGACGCGGCTGTATCAAACGTCTTTGACGAGTTCCTGAGGTGTTCTGAACAGTTGGGTCAGAATTTTATGCCCTAGTTACATGTACCAAAGATTAGTTAATTTGGGCACAAAAAGTACACATAGTCAGACATTGGCATTGAATTTCCTATAAGTTACCCAGTATATACGAGAAGTATTCTGTGAAGTGTGTCTTTTTTTTTTAACTTACACTGCATGTATTGGTGTAAATTACACCATTGGAATGAGCTGTGGGTAGGGTTTGTGACTGCACATTGACTCTGCACAGTGTTTGGCAGGACTTCATTTCATCTGCCTAACGTTTTTATTATGCAAACTGACCTACCGCTTACTTTATTGGAAGAATCAGTTAATGTCTAATCTGCAGTGATCTTTGTCACCCTACGTATTGAAGAATTGCATTAACCTTTTGCTGCCAGGGAACCCCGTTTCGAGTACCATGGGATTATAAGCTGAGCCAGGGTGCCCGAAATGGGACAAAAGTGCTGGTCCGTGTAACAAAAGACCCTACTCACAAAAGACCTGCTGCTGGGAATTGCCATCATTTTTTGGGTTGCATTTTTTGAATGTAATCTGCCGCTGTTTTTAAACAGTATACCACTGTTTTGGGCATAGCGGGCCCGCGGATTAGCACAGTGGACGAAAGTGCTCCAGGGCCTCATCGATGAGCGACACAGCACTGCTGCATGCTAATCCAGCCGCGTTTGAAAAGATGCCACTCGCATTCACTGGGGACAAAGGAAATTACGCAACACCTCACAATCCTGGGCTCTCTTTACAGGGCGGCAGGCCTGGCTGAAGTATTCAGGAGTCAATGAAAGTTACCTGTCAGCTTAGAGTATCCACCAAATAGTCATTCGTGTGGGTGTAAACGTCTATTAAATGAAATGATAAATTTTCAAAGAATTATGAACATTGAAAATCTTGAAAATCTCCCGCATGTTGGCACTGCATTTTTAAAAGCAGGCAGCAAGTGGTTAGGGTGCCATTACAAAATGGAGGCAATTATGCTCATAGTGTCTCCTGTACTTTTAGTTTGTTGAGGACTACGAGCCAACCAAGGCCGACAGCTATCGCAAGAAGATCACGCTGGATGGTGAGGAAGTCCAGATTGACATCCTGGACACGGCGGGCCAGGAGGACTACGCAGCCATCCGTGACAACTACTTCCGCTCAGGGGAAGGGTTCCTGTGTGTCTTCAGCATCACCGAGCAGGAGTCGTTCGCAACCACTACAGAATTCAGGTCAGCAGCCCGCCACATCCAATATTCGACTGGACGTACATTTACATATATCTCAAATACGACCNCCTTATAAATGCTTTATTATTATTATTAAGTTACGCGGTACATACGAGAAGTATTCTGTGAAGAGTGTCTTTTTTTTAACTTACACTGCATGTATTGGTGTAAATTACACCATTGGGATGAGCTGTGGGTAGGGTTTGTGACTGCACATTGACTCTGCACAGTGTTTGGCAGAACTTCATTTCATCTGCCTAACTTTTTTATTATGCAAACTGACCTACCGCTTACTATATGGGAAGAATCAGTTAATGTCTAATCTGCAGTGATCTTTGTCACCCTACGTATTGAAGAATTGCATTAACCTCTTGCTGCCAGGGAACCCCGTTTCGAGCACCATGGGTTTATACGCAGAGCCGGGGTGCCTGAAATGGGACAAAAGTGCTGATCTGTGTAACAAAAGACCCTACTCACAAAAGACCTGCTGCTGGGAATTGCCATCATTTTTTGGCTTGCATTTTTCGAAGGTAAACTGTCGCTGTTTTTAAACAGTATACCACGCCACTGTTTTGGGCATAGTGCGCCCGTGGATGAGCACTGTGGACAAAAGTGCTCCAGGGCCCCATCCATGAGCAACATAGTACTGCTGCATGCTAATCCAGCCGCATTTGAAAAGATGCCACTCGCATTCACTGGGGACAAAGGAAATTACGCAACACCTCACAATTCTGGGCTCTCTTTACAGGGTGGCAGGCCTGGCTGAAATATTCAGGAGTCAAAGAAGGTTACCTGTCAGCTTAGAGTAGACACCAAACAGTCATTCATGTGGGTGTAAACGTCCATTAAATGAAATGATGAATTTTTGAAGAATTACGTACACTGAAAATCTTGAAAATCTCCTGTATGTGTGCACTGCTTTTTTAAAAGCACCCTGCAGCATGTGGTAAGGTGCCGTTACAAAATGAAGACAATTATTCTCATTGCGTCCCCTGTACTTTTAGTTTGTTGAGGACTACGAGCCGACCAAGGCCGACAGCTATCGCAAGAAGATCACGCTGGATGGTGAGGAAGTCCAGATTGACATCCTGGACACGGCGGGCCAGGAAGACTACGCAGCCATCCGCGACAACTACTTCCGCTCAGGGGAAGGGTTCCTGTGCGTCTTCAGCATCACCGAGCAGGAGTCGTTCGCAACCACTACAGAATTCAGGTCAGCAGCCCGCCACATCCAATATTTGACTGGACTTACATTTGCATATATCTCAAGTCCGACTNNGTTTCACTTTCATGACCATCTACCTCAGGTGCTGGGCACCCATGTAGGCAAGAAGTTCTTGTGGTGACTTTTGGGGGAAGAGAATTGCCACCATCACTTTATTTCTTTGGCATTCAAACTAGATTTGGTTATGACAGTCCCCTCAACTCGTAATGTTGAACCTTTATATTTCTTCTAAGTCGAAATCAGCCAATCCCAAGTCATGATCGGTTGGTTGTCTGTGCATACCTCAAGCAGCATACATGGTCATATAAAGTAATGTTTCATGCACTTGATACCGGTCTGTTGTCCTCGGTTGTGGTTCTCAGTGAGTTCAACTGGTACTCAAGTTGTGGCAAATAATACTCAAATAGTACAGTTAAGTTCACAAACATTTTAGTGTAGAACCTACAAGGGTCTGGGAAAAATAAAGTATTCTGAAAAATGTGGGTATGTTTTGTTCAAATCTCAAGGGAAATCAAGTCCCATTTTGAGTAATAGTGGCCTCTAGTCAGTAAAAATGAAAAAGGGAGCAAGTCTCAATTATTTGGTTTCAAAACTACAGTCTAAGGTCATAGTTCAAAGTATTTTGAGTGATCTTTGATAGTAGTTGAATGCATGTATGCCCACAGTAAGGCCAAAAGTACTTCTCCTTCAAGTTTTGTTCTATTTGTGCTTTTGTGGGAATATGGTACAGCTGAATATTAAATTGAATTGAAGATGGAATATTCTAATTATTCCAAGTGACGCGGCCTTTTGCAGTGCAGAAATTGAAGAAAACCTTTTTGCATCTTTTTCTTTTAAACTAGGGAACAGATTTTGAGAGTGAAGTGCGACCGGACAGAAGATATGATCCCCTTTCTTTTGGTTGGCAACAAAGCGGACCTGGCTGACAAGAGGCAGGTGAGCCCAGAGGAGGCAGGGAACCGGGCGACGGCTTGGAAGGTTCCCTATGTCGAGACCTCGGCCAAAACAAGGGAAAATGTCGATAAGGTACTCCTCTCCTTATTTTTCTGACATCTTAGTATAAATATCCTCTCAAGTGATTGCTGATCAGGGACAATGTAGAAGCCGTTCAAATTTATGAAATTTGGTTCTTAGTATGCCAGAAAATCGGTTCGTGCTGCAGGTGAATGGAAAAGCGAAGCAAATGTGACGTCCCGAAATGTTCGCTGCAAACTTCGTTTGAGTTGAGATGTGTTCCACTATTGCTAAGCCATAGTGCAGATATTTGATCTGACCTCACGGAATTGCATTGGTGTACGCTTCCAAGCCAAGTATGACCCAGCTGTAATGGGGTTGTGACTAACCAGTCCCAAACGTTCTCCGCCCTCTGGCATTGCTCTCCTTATTACTAGTGAATGTGTACCAGCCGTACCTAGATAATGTATACCTTGTGTGAACCTTTGGAGCAGTGGTCAACAGATTGAATGCATTATGCACGAGTGACGTAGAGTGGCCCGAACCGACCCAGAAAAAGAGGTTTAGAGGCATTTTTGGTTGAGGGTTCTCGCTTAGCAAATCAAAGAAGAGCAGTTGGGGAAGCAGCAACTATAACCCACTCTGCTTAAGGTCACACTACAAGGTATCTCCTCTGTGAAATCAAAGTAATATCCACGTTTATAAGCATAGAGATCTAACGTGAAGGGTTTTTTTTCCATGTGCATTGTTTTTTTCAGGCTTTTTATGATCTCATGCGAAAGATTCGGGAGCAGAAGGCCCGGGAGAACCAGAAGCAGAACGGCAAGGGCAAGACAACGCCATCCGGCGGACGGAGCAAGCGGAAATGCGTCATCCTGTGAAACCATAGTCTGTCATGTGTGTGTGTGTCTTTGTCTGTTGGGTTTCTTATCGTTCTCCGTGGGGTCAGGTCGGACCTGCACGCCTTGTGGCTGCCTGTGGACGGATTGCACATGACCAGAGCAGCCATAGTGTGTAGCGTTGCCAAGCCTCTTTGTAATACCCAGTGTAACACCAGCCCATCACAGCCATGTCATCTTTGAGTGGCTGCTTTGTACAGGTTTTACTTTGGAACATCTCATGTAAATAGACAGTGACGTAAATCTGGGGGTCACATGATTTCATTCTCCCTCTCCATAAAAAAAAGTTGTGCATTTTTATTTGAAGGAAATGCAAACTTCGCTTGGATGCGATACTTAAATCGCATCCCCCCTCGCATTGTACAAACTAATATTACATTCTAAGGTGTCGAAACATAAAGGATGACACATGCGACGCATGTGTCACATGTAACACATATTGAGCATGTCGAATCTGTCAAGGACATACAGTAATGGAAAGTGAAATCGCTGCAGTTGTAAAAAAGTGGCTATAGTTGTGTCCGACGCAGACTTCTTGAGTAGTGCTGTTTGCACGTGCTTTCGCAACTGTTGAAGACCTAGACCTAGCAATGCATTCAAGATTCAGGCGTAGCCTGTGTGCCCATTGACACAGACCTGTGATAACTGAGAGTGGCGGTCCGAACGGTAGACTGCATAATTTTTTTACGTGTACGCGCAAGGCGGAAACCGCTTGGCATGCTAAGCACTGACTTTCCGCAATATGAATGGCACCCCCACAGGAAGAGTGGAGGATGTAATGAGGGACAGCATTCAACCATGCCAGTCGATCTGTGACGTCATACCTAACAAGACGGTTGATTGGCCAGAATGCACTGTCTCAGTGTGACATCTTTGAAAAAAAATTCACTGAGCTTTAGAATCACAGCAGTTTGCCAACCTGTCGTGTGGTATATTGCAGTCAGTGTGACCAATTCCATAGGAGCCGCTATGTTCAATTTTTTATAACACTGCATTTTCATTTTCACTTGCTGTGTAATTTGGCCTTTACATGCAATGCATTTAGGCAGCACAGAACTTATTATATATTTTGTCAATCAAAAGCTGGAATGCATTTCTATTTTTCAAAGTCCTGTATCCATCAAACTCAATCAAAACAGGGTGTTAGATTCTGTCAGATGAAGGAAGTTGAGGTTCAGTTGTAAGAAAGACCACTGCTCATCTAAAAATTGAAAACAAGCACACTTCTGTTTTTTGTGTTCCAACTTGATAGTCCACGATTTAGAACTGAAAGAGTATTGACTTCCAAGCGTTCTCTTACGTATCAGTTCAATTCAGGTATTTTCGATACAGGATCAGAAATTACCTTGGGAGGCTTTTAAAGCATATTTTGAAAACATTTGCAAAAGCTTTTGTTGAACAGTGCACCTAGTTAATCTCCAAGATAAACAGGTTGAGGCCCATACAGATGCATTGTAAGTTACTTGGATTGCCTCAAGTTGTAGTGTACAGTGTCCATGTAAGACTGGAAAGGCATTTGAAATATCAGACCACGTGACATCTTATTTGGGATCAGTTTCAACATGCTGTAGAGCTTGTCACTGACTCAGAAATGTCAAGAACTAAAAGATAAAGTGAGCTTCAGCCGAGAGCTGGGGCTGCTGCAGAATTTGCTTTAGCAGAAAGAATTTGCTTTAGCAGAAATCAGGTTGCCAGCCTAACTGCTATGCCAGGAACATATATATTGTCAGGGACTGCACGGTACTCTGCAGATTTTTTATGAGAACATAAATTTGCCAGTTATTCACTTCTGCCGAGCTCCATAAAGTAGGGCCCAGGCTTTCTGGCTGAAGCTCACAGTAGACACATATGTTCTGTGATATTTAACCAAATAAAGGGCAAAAATCTGAAAAAAGGAACAGATGAACAGAAGACACCTGTTAACCTTTGAAATATACCATTGAAATGACTGGCATGTTAAATGTTGACATGTGGCCCTACCACAAAATGGCTTATAAAGTAAAAGAAAATTGGCAAGAAAAATATGCAGATGTAATGGAACTCAACACAAGTTGTAAAACCGTAGCCAAAAAGTTGCCGTGCATCAAATTCATAAATAGCCTGGAAATGATTTGTAATTATTTTAGTGTATACGTACATGTATATTTTTTGGTTTGCAGTATATTTGTGGATCAGTTCTCCTTGTTTGAGATCCTTCACACTGTCACCCAAGTTTTTTCCCTGTTGTTTCTTGAGGGAAATACACTAACCAAGAATATTAAATTCTGTTCTTATTGTGCATGTCAATTGCATGGTTTTCATCTGTCATTGTTGCAGATGTTCTCATGTGCAGGTTCCCATTTTATATCCCATCTTTTCTGATGCAAACCTGTGTTGAATGGGAAAAAAGTAGTCAGGAGGCCTGCTTTGTTTGTTGGTGGCTTATGAAGTCAGGGTACCCAGACAAAGATGGCCGCCACGTTTGCAGCCCTCACCCTTTAGCTGATGTAATCTGAAACTTTTAAAGTGGACATATATGACTAGTATATGTTCATCTCTTGCTGTATTTGGTTTGAAAACATTTTTGGGAGAGCATCTTTGACTTTTGCTACTTTTACAAATCAAATTGTCAGTCACGTAGATTATCTCTTCAGGTCAGTTTCTGTTTTTTTTTCCCGTTCAAGTAATGTCAGCTTTGCATCTGAATTTCATTCATTGTATCCCTAACTAATTTTGCGCTTAAATCAGATTGGCTTTGGTATGAGCTGTATGGCTTCTGCTAATTTACAGCTTCAATCACAACACTACTGACTTTCCATAATCTTTTATGGTCTGTGCTTGTGGTTTGTGCAATACAATGGATCAATGTGCTACTGTAAATTGTGTAGAAATCTCTGCTTCACATTTTTTCTGAGGTTTCAATTCTTCAAATGTTTGCAGGATCAAGTCCTGGACCTTGAATTTCAATTTGTCAGAGATGTCATTGCATTTTTTTTCTGTCAGCCTTAAACGTCAATTCTTTATTTTGAATCAAGGAGTAAGTCACTCGCAACTTTGAAATGGTTGTTCATGAGGCCACCTCCTATTGTGGCAAAAAACAACACCTATATAAATGTATGAAGCCACAAGCTTCTGTACATGTTCCTCAGTATATAAGGCAAGCATAAATTTCCACAGAAAGGGTTAATTTCACGGCTCACTCAGAAGCCTGCTTAAATGTCCGAATGTTTCTTTCTTGCGGTGTAAGTCTAAACGTAGTTTCAAGTTTTGTCTCTTGTTTGCTCAGTTTTGGGGAGAATAAGCATGTAGAATCTTGTGTACATTTGAAAAGACGTAACTCTCGTATTGAGGAATCACTAAAATCATTTAATCAAGCTGTTCATTCATAACAATCACCCAGCGTCTGTGTCAGTTTTTTTTTTAAATGTACTTGTATTAACATAATGTATCTATATATTTGATTGTATTTGCATGATTTGGCACAAACTGCACACTGTGCTCTTATTTATATGATTAAGCTTATTTTCATGCTACTTTTTTTCCTGATACTGTACATTCATAAGGCATCTCCAGAAGAAAAGTTCAACAGGAAATAGAACTTTGGGCTTGCCTGTGTACAGTGATTATTGCCCTCTTTTGAATTCTCTTGAGACAAAGTTGTCCTTGTCTTGCAGATGATGTTGCAATGTTGGAGGATATACAGTCTGTAGAAATACCAAGCAATCCCAAGTCTTTTTATTCTGTTTTTTTCCTTTATTGCTGATTCTATATGGCATAACTGAAAAATATTGACTTTGAGACATGACAGTTCTTTGCCTTGTACAAATTTAGTGATATTTCAAGACTGGCAAACACACATGAATTAGAATAATAATGTGCAAAGCCCTGTTACCAATGCCCGAGGTTTTTGCTAGAAAAATGGGGTCCAATTATTTTCGTGGCCCTGTCACATTAGTCCTGGTTCCAAGACCTTCCAGTTTTTCCACGACATGAACCATCACACGTACTGTACATGTACATACATGTACATGTATTGTACAGGGCGCTATCACCTCCCGAATCGTTATAACTTCCTGTGATAACGATTTGCGTGATGATGGCGCCCTCTAACAGTATACGTGTGCTACTGGAAGGTCTTGGAACCAAGGCTACTGTCACATCAGACAAATGATTTTGCAAGTTCAGAACACAAGTTTTGATTTCCCAGAGTGATGAAGTTATACAAGTTACCCACCACACAAATATAGTTTGAAATCACTTTCAGTGATATGTCCAAGTCAAATTGCGCAAGACAGTTATAACAAGGACACCCAAGAGTCACATTTCTGTACCCTTTCCCCCCATTTATAGAATGACCCCTGTGGCCTCACAGGTATCGATTGTGGTTGTATTTAGGGCATTCCTAGTTTGTAACAGTACAAATGGCCCAGCCATTGATCTTTTGTTGTGTGATGCTGCAACTGTGCCAGTGTGTTTATGGTACAAATACCCTCACATTATAATTGACAGGATGCGGAACCCTGGTTGAACTCTTTTCCTTAATGGGATTTTTCACTGACCCATGTCTGTGGATTAAAGAAAGATTATATATTTATGCTGAAGGCTAGTCTGCTAGTCTATGAACTTCAGCGCCTGGAATGTTCTCTTTTCTAAATCCATTAACTACCGGTTACATGCCGAGATTAATCCTTACCTTTGTGTACTGTCTGAAGTCGTTCCTAAAATTTGTCGAGGCCGTTGTATGATTTTGAAGTCTTGATTATACTTGTATGTACATTATGAGACATTTTATATGATTTGCACCTGTAAAACCAGTTTTGGTAAATACATATATAGCTACTGTACACTGAAAGTTTACAGGTGGCTGTTAACGGGTTAAAGGAGTAGTTAGGATATTTATGTGATTTACGGGCATCTAGAACCTGGTTAGCATCACCTTATACTGGGTTTATCCCATTGTAATTGTATAAACGTGGAAATATTGCCTTTCCCTAGCAATTGTAGGCCAGAATAAAGTAGCATTGTATTGATACTTCAAACACTAATTGCAGTGTGCTGATTTTCTTGCAGTTTCTAATAACAAATTTATGAAGCAAGTGGCCTCCAAAAATGTTCTTTCTGTTAAAAAAGGCAATCAATGCAGTTCAGACCTACTTCCCCAACCAATATGGTCCCTCCAACTTACCCATACTCGGTCATAATATGTAGGGTGGACATTCCTTTGTTCTCCTGTGGTTAAGAAAACTCGGGCAAAATTCTCCTTTCTCTCCCACATAGACTCCCTCGAGCTGGATTTTTGATTTCCTGGATTGTTCATTTTGCCAGATAGCCCCGACCCCTACATGCCTCTTAAGTGGTTTTTCAGGGGGGAAAAAAGTGTGTGGACGTGTGCGACTCCGCACAATGCCATCGCACCCTACATTACGTGGACTTCTTTTATGCAGAGGTCCACACTTTGTACGCCACGCTTGCTCACATTTGAAAATGCTCATGCATTCCCATCCACAAGCACATCTCTCAACGAGCTCAAGCGAGGGCTGTGGTCATTACTGAACAATGATGAGCATTGTAGCCCTATCTTCAGGGTGTTCAAACATCAGATGGCATGCAGTCATCGATTGGTTGCTTTGAGATGGGCGTGGTCTGAAGTCTTTTTCCCAAATTTCTCCATATATTTCTAGAAAGAGTTTATGCAAGATCTGTTTTATAAATACTGTTATGAGAGGAACTTGGAAAAAAGACACTTCAACGTTGAAAATACACTTTCATTGTATTAATGGGTTTTAGTAAAGCGATTTGTTACCCTCTTCATTTCTCTGTTTGTTATTAATACTGCAACCAAGTACTATCCATGGAAAAGACATTTTAAGAATCCATGATAAAAGGAAATTCTTATCATTATTGAAAGTAAAAAATTTTGTTAAACCAAGTACCAAAGCCAGTGTTACAAAATCTTCAACAGCGATCGGACCGGATCGGTACAATTGAGTGAAAATATAAAATTAATTCAGGATTATTACAGATAATCAAGGCTTGAATAAGCAACCGGCAAATTCTCTTTTCCATCTTGCAGGGTGTTAATTAGACATTTGAACAGATTTTTTTCCAAGGCTTGTGTTTTGTTTTAAAAATAGCTCGGCTGCCAAAAAAGGAATTCTGAACTATCAACTAATGAACCAAAACAATGGTTATGAGCTTATTTGTTGATACATGTATATTCATTTAAAAAATATAGAATCTTCTCGTTATCACCTGTAATGTGAACAAATTAGTCTATGATAGAGTCAACATGGCTACCAGAATTAGATACCATTACTGTGGAGGCACAACACTCTTGGATGGATGGTGCGCATGCATTACGTGCTACTTCAACCAACAGGTGTCAGGATACCCAAAATGCGCGCACCTCTCGCCCTAGAATATGAATGCATTACCACTGTAGTTATGGCCTCACCTCAGGGTAGTCTATTGACAACTAAAAAGTGATCATACTTCACTAATATATTTATATTTTTTCAGATATATATGTAACTATATAAGCAAAAAGTAAAAACAATACTCCCTGGGCATTTGACTGTTTTTCACTCACTTTCCAAGTGATTCGGGCACAGTAAACTAAATGAATATCAAGTTGTAGAGTCCTGCCATAATTCTCTTCCATAAGCCACAATATAAAAAACCATGAACGGTTGAATTACTTGAAAAATGATTGCCTGCTGATGAATTCTGACACAAATATTACTGGCATGCTATCTATGTGTACACCGATAAAAAATATTTTTCTTTTTTACGAGATATATAGATATAAATCATACAACAGTAAGGAAATTTGGTAAATTCACAATACAGTTTTGCCATGGGTGTTTAGCACGACAGAAAGCACTTGTTAACACCAGGGCCCATCTCCTTGTTACCTTGCAATTAATCTTAATTCTTCATTGCATGAGCGGGGTACCATGCACAAAAAGCATCTCAGGCCATCAGTATCTACATCCCCCCTTAAAAAGCCCATGTTACCAAATCCCTGTTGCTATGGAACAAATTAGTGCCCACATAGTGCCCAGGACCCCAAACAAATGTTCAGATCAATGCAAATTCAAATAATTTAGTAATTACAGCCATAAATACACCACTTGCACGATAAAACTACTCTACAGTGTGTTTGTGAAGGGCCATCTACCATGCTGTAACGTTGCCCTCAGTCGCCTGATGACTCATTGCGCAAGTGCACGAATGCAGTATTAGGCCTTATTCAATGTAATCCATCAAATGGAGTAGCGTCAGACAATTTTGGATTCCACGTTTCACTTTCTTATTTTTTTTAAATGTTGCTTAACACATTGACATGTTACGAACCTCAAATTTTAAATTATTGAGAATCGTTAAATGAAAGGAATCTATCATGATTTTTTCTTCATTGTTTTAATGTTCATTCTTGGGTTCCCAAAATAAAAAAGTTAACCTCACTTTCAATTCAATGTGGCCGACATAGTCCCAACTCTGGTTTGGAATTGCAGAATTTGACGTGGTCAGAAAATGGCTCACGAAGCTGGCGTGAATGGCCCAACCATGCTTCCAAATCTTATATGTTTGTGACAGAATACTTCCCAATGTAACCTGATCAGTCTGTTTTTGTCAAATTTACATTTTCTTGAAGGCACTGTATAAACTGGTTGCCACTTCATAAGCAATCCTCTCAAAATCACGGTATGATAAAAGTATTCCTGTACCTTTACTGTTAAAAGCTGAAAGAAGTAAAATGGCATGGCATACATTCCATCAAGATCAGAAAGATTTTACGATCAAACTTAACTTTGGGAATGTTCACAATTGTTTCTCTTTATACGAATCTTGAATTTTCTCCCAGTATACTTGGAGTGAATAAAATACACACGTGAAATGTACACAGTTGGAATACCCTGTTTTTGGAGCGTGAATGGGCATTGCTGGGATGTTTTTCTCTGGGGGAGGGTACGGCACTTATGAGTAGCAAACTGACAAATTGTCAACAATGAAAGGAGTCAAATCGGAGGTATTTCAAGCAAACAGGTGAGGTTCATCCCTTTCACGCACTTTTTTTAAAATTCTTTCATTTTTCCTTTGTTTTCTGGGCTGGTGGGGGCCCAGGGGCTAAGCATCCCCTCCTGGCCCTCCCAATCCCCTTAGTGAAGCCTGTGGTCAAAGCCCGAGGTTGGAGCAAATCTGAAAGCGTTTTATCGGGATGGCCGACTGCACGGTGGGGCGGTCAATTTTGGCAGTCGCAACCAAGTATTGGTTGGCTTGTTTCTCTCCGGCTTGAAAATTCTGGAGGATTTGAGTACAATGCTTACCAATGCTCAATTCTTGCCCAATTTAAGCTTGCCCAATAGCAGTTCAGCAACGAGGACCAACCAAACCCATTTATGGTGACGACTGTCAAAATGCACCCCTGACTGGCCCAACTGAAGCAACTTAAGTGGACATTTTCACCATCTTGGTTCCCTATGAACTAGCCCAATGGTACAGTTACCATGGGCACAAGCTATGATGACTTCATATTAGCAATCTTTGTTTATAATCTGAGAGTGTCTGTATGACTTTTTAGTCGTGTCAAACTTGGAATTAAAAAACTGAAACTCTCATATTTACTGCTCATACATCAGAGAGGAACAAGATGGTGCTTGACTGCTTCAATCTGCAGGCACTTTACCCCAGGGCTCGAAATTAACGGTGGTCCGCTGGCCCGAGGCCAGTAAAAAAGTCGGCGGATCAGCTGATCTGATAAAACTGGTGGTCCGGTGGGCCAGTTGAAATCTGACATCTTTTCCGTCTTCACAAATATCTTTCAACAACCTTTCTTCACGTTAAAATGCTTGTTTTAAGAAAAACAAACAAACATTATTTTCACGAGTAGACCAAAGTTAAATAACCATAATGATCATGGATTCCGGGAAATCTTGGGCAAGTGTGGATCCTATTCGAGCAAACAAATTTATGGCATGGCCTGCCCAATCGGCCAAACTAAAAAAAAAAAAATTTGTCGCAGCCTGCGCCGTAACAAGGATTGCTCAAACGGCTGCATGTGTAGTTCTGGTATGGAACCACCAAACTTTCAGCAGGACCAGTGAAAATTTTGAAGCACTGGTCCTGCTGGCTACCAGGGAAAAAAAGGTTAATTTCGACCCCTGTTGCCCAGTCCAATTAGTATCAGAGTTCTGTGGTTTCATCCACCTTCACTACAGGGTGCCAGTGATTCCCCCCCCCTCAGCAGGCGAGAGCACTAGACTATCTCCTGGGCCACCTTCACTGAGTTCGGAATGTCATTGGAAGATTTGGACTCGGAGCAGTGAAACAGCTCAGGAGGCTCTAACTGACCCTGTGTGATGCGATCGCATGCCTCCACGAGGTCGTAGTTGATCCTCTCCGTGACGACCGAGTCGTGCTTGTAGTCTGGGTGACTGGTGATGAAGTTCCGTATCCAGGAGGCTAATGTCACCAGTTTGCCTGTGACGGTGATTAAAGGAATCACATTTGGTTTTCCCATTACATAGCTGGGTTTATACTTTCCTACAACCAAGAGGGGAGATCCCCAATAGACCTTTATCATGACGCCGCCATGTTGGTCTTGTTCCCTATAGACGCACTGGCAATAGTAATACACCTTCACATATTGATAAAAGGGAACAGACTATTTTTCTTCAAGCCTCAGTTTGGATACATTGTTTTGAATACAAGGAAAGCAAGATGGCTGCCCAATGATAGTGGTCTATGCCCCAACACCCGCAAAATTTTGGTTGACAGCAGACATTTTTCTTTTTTCCACTATTGGATTTATAAATACAATACTTGTGTTTGAGCATATTTCACTGCTCAAGGTAAACAAGATAAAAGTAAACATTTTGCAGAAAACAAGTTCAATTAAAAGTTGTTTTTTTTCCTACTAGGCATAGAGGACTTAGTCAATAGTGTCAATATAATATTCACTTTAAGTCCTCCCCTTTTACATTTGGCCACGCCCACCCACCTGAGGCCCTATCCGAGATGAGCTTGAGGTAGCACATGATGGTGCACCGCGTGTCAAGGTCTGTCTCCACAGTGGCCACGTACTGATTGATGAGAGGGATCAGGCCAGGGAAGTCCCCTTGCCCCTCTCCCAGGGGACCCCCGTTGATGATGGTGTCGATGCTCATGAGGCACTGCTCGTCCTCGATTGGACAATCACATGCACCTGTTGGTCAAAGGTCAGGGGTTACAGGAACTGCACAGGTATCAGGACAAAGTTTTTCTCTTTTGGGACTTAATACATCAGCACTGCTGGCTGCATCAATGTTCTAGAGCCCAGCGCATTTTCAACTGAGCTGTCAAAGACACCCAGCGAGCAAATGTCACAACTTACCCGGGATTTTAACACAAGAAATGATCTCAAAATTTTCTTGACAATTTTTAGCCTTGCATTGGTCAAAGATCTAGCACTGATGCAAAGTGGAAGTTAAGCCCGAATAGTAAGAGAGAGACTTATATATAATCCACTGGGTGAAAATTGGTCTCTCGCTTGATAATTGGCTGTTTTGTCTTCAGAGGAAGAAAGAGCAAACCAGGCTTCACACTAAGGGATGATATTGGTCGTCAAGAGCCCCAGAACAATTACTCACAGGACCGCAGGTCTTTCCGGAAGTAAAACTTTGAATTCAGGATGGCGTTGCGCTTCTGCGCTTGCTGCATGTTGAGGTCCACCTATGAAGGAACAGGGGGTTATAATGTGGATGTAAGTTGCTTTAGAATGTGGGATACCAAAGCAATCGTGGCCAAAGGTGACTATTTCAGTTAACATTAGAACCCATTTCAGGCCAGGTCTAAATTTTGGATGCCCCTTGGTTTTCCAATCTAATTCTGAGCTCAGGAAAAAGGCATGGACTACTTGGAAAAACCTCAAATGAGGGGCTGGATTGCTCAGTGGAAAGAGCGCCAGTTCAAACAGACCATGGGCCATCTGCTAGTTCAGCCTTTCACTTCTTTTCAGCTTTTTTGAAGTCTCTTTCAGGGTTTGTCTCTGCTTCAGCCATCATTTTTGACATTGAGACCACTTGTAGGCCTTCAGCGTACAGAGCTATGCTCCTCCAGCAAAAGATTAAGTTCTTCAATGAGATAAAAACCAGATTCAGGGAAGGAGGTTAACACTCAGGAAAAGCTACAGGTCAGGCCATTTTAGACCCCCCTCCCAATTCTCCTGATGACTAATTTAATGTATTTTCAGTTCCATATAGAACCACAGCTGAGAGAACTGCGACATGAGTGTCTCAATTGTTGGAACGAAAATGACAGATTTAGCGTCCGAGCACATTGGCAATCAGCACACAATACCCCCATGCTGTACTGCACACACAACGATCAGCCATTTTGGTTCTAAAGTCTGGAGTTGGGGACACTCTCTCCATACACAGCTCTGAGTAGAACCAGGGAATGGCGCCCTCAATAGGGTGAGCACCGCAGAAAAGGACCTGGCTGAGCTACCGAATTGACAGTGAACCTGCAACTAGGCAGTCACCTTTGATAACTGCATGAGTAGGTTCAGCTTGAAGGTCAAAATGGTGCGGGTCAGCAGGACGACAAAAACAACAAAAGCAGCATTCTCAAAGTCGGTCAACTGGACCTCCATCGGCCGGAATTCCACCCGCCAGCCGATGTTGGAGTTGACCGGTGGCGGCTTGAACCGCATCGTCTGCCAGTTGGTTGACTGGATGTTCTAGAATTGAAACCAAGAAAAGGTACATACAACTGCAGCTTTTGGGGTAGATATTCAGGCTGTGAAGTTTACAAACCAAACATTTATTTGAAATTAGAGCTTCGACAAATCGTCCACTCTACAAGTTCCTACATTCTTGTCCCCTCACTTAGGAAATTAGTGATGAGATTCCTTTGAAATCAATCCTAAGGTCACGAACAATGTTTGAGATACCGTCCGTTTTAGGGCACCCACATACTCATGGGCACTCATCAGCAAACTGTCACACTGTTAACAGTGAACGGGTCAATTCGGAGGTATTTGGAAACAAGTAGGTGATTTTCACATCCTTGCCTACTTTCCTTTCTCTCATTTATTTCTTCTATTTCTCCTTTTTATACTTTTCAATGTTTTCCGTAAAAGCGGTCACTGCACCTTGACCCCCCCTTCCACCCATGCCCAAGCACACACTAGCTTCATACTTCTGTATCACACTCTATAATATGCAGTAATCTATTGAGTTACTGCATTTGGACAGAACAACACTGCAAAGCTTGACTTTCTGAAATGACCACGATTAAACGCAAAGGGGTAGAGTAAGAGCAGATGGGGTGGGATTTAGTGATCTACCTCAAAGTGGTCCGAGTCCTTGGTGTCATCCAAGTCAATCATCTCTGCAAAGACAGACACTGGGTCACGGATAAACAGATGGGCGATATGCCGAGCCAACTGCCGATCAATACCTGTTGACGACCAGAAGTGGAGCAGCTGTTTAACCCCTTGACGTCGGGACTTTTTTCTGAAAGCCGACTCCGAGAATTCTAGCCTCGCTTGACCACGAAGGCCACCTGCCAAACCGCAAATTCTCAGTTTGTGGCTCTGCGTGCTCTACACGCTTTGAATTACACAGTGAAAAGGCTGATTATTTGGTGGCATGCGGTTCTACTCACGCTTCCACATTTCCGTTGCCTCTTTTCAAAGTGGGGACTATTGTGAAGCTGGTGATTATGATGCAAATTCGGCCTTTTCATTTCTTGGCAACACAAAGGCCAATCACCATATATACAAGAGCCAAGGTCTGCCTTCTCTCACCGTGTTCGCTCGAGCATGGGCCGAGAAAAATAGCTGAAAAGCGGGCTGAGGGATCTCAACTTTTACAGCGGCTCTTACCGCTTCCCGGTGAGAAGGGGTTAAACAAAAGCATCTACAAATTTGGAATGTTTACCTTCTGTTAACTTTTTGTTCCCACAGCCAAATAATTACCTGTGATGTCAGTGAAGGATCACATGCTTAATTGATGGATTTGTGTCTAAGAAAAACTTCTCTTTCGGTACTTTTGAAAGATTTTTCTTTGATCACAGTGTTTAAAACGTCAGTAAAATCTGTTAAATTGAAACAGTTTGAAAGACCAGTTTCTTGATTTTCTTTCTTAAATCAAGAGCGCTACTCCAAACCATAATTTCCTGGATTGCATCACTTTCCAAATGAAATAAAATTTCCCAAACAGAAAAGAGTTTTTTTAGAATAGAAAGCTTCAAAATGGACAAGGAATTTAGAAATGAAACATAAGGTTTCCAAATTAAACAGGACATTTCCAAAAAGAAAAGCATCATGGAAACAGAAGCTTTCCCAACAGGAACCCATTCAAATGGAACAAGAACATTCGAAATGGAAGAGAAACGTTCCAAATGGAAGAGAAACGTTCCAAATGGAAGAGAAATGTTCCAAATGGAAGAGAAACGTTCCAAATGGAAGAGAAACGTTCCAAATGGAAGAGAAACGTTCCAAATGGAAGAAAAACATTCCAAATGGAAGAGAAATGCTCCAAATGGAAAAAAACTTTTCAAACTGAAACAGGAACTTTCCAAACAATAAGGACACTTCCAAAGTTGAAGAACTTTTATTGCTATAGTAAAAGGAAGTTTCCAAACCTACCTTTGTCCATGAGCTCTTGGCAATCTTTCTCATCTAGTACCAGATCGATGTCACTGTACCGCTCCCCGTTGGGTGATAGGTAGCTATCAATGGAGTCATACCGCGACTTGGGGATAACAAACTTATTGTTTTTCAGTGGCTGCAAGGACACAGGGATCAACACCAAATCACAAACAGATCATTTTATCTCAGGTCCTAAAATGACAAAGGTTTTCAGTGCAAATCAAAAAACAATGAATCTGTATACACGAAATTATGTGTGCCACCAGGAAGGAGGCGTGGCTCTTTTGTGGGAGGGGGAAGCAAAGTAGTCAACAATAGCTGACTGACAAACTATGAACAGTTAAGCAGCATCAATTATGACATTTTTGTGCAAACTGGCAATTTTTCTTCTCATTTCTGTGTTCTTTTCTTTTCATTTTTTTCTCTGTTATTTTTTGCGAGGAGGGCTCGTACTTTTAAGTTTCTTTCCTCTTCTGTCCGGTCATCTACTGATCCCGCAATGACATTCCATCGACAGTCGTGCTCTGTTAAGTAGCCCTTGTAAACAGGAGAGGCTGCACTCAAGGCCAACTGAAAAATCAAGAAAAATGGTCACACAGGTATACATTAAATTTGAAAGTCCAGCACCTGTCATTAGATTAAAATGAATACGTCTTCTTGCAGATTCTGTACATACCGCATCACATCTGTACTCATTCCCATGCTTGAGTGATTCATAGAGAGGCAGGAACTAGACCTTGGAGGTCGAGAATGTGTTGTAGCCCTCAAGTGGACATAGGCCATGGCAAGCCGCGGCAAATATCCCACCGTGGCACTATCTCGGAGTCATTTTCCAAAAGCTCTAGAGCAAATGACCGCCAAGGGTCAGCATTTGCGAAGTCCAACTTTGTTAAGAACTAGTGTTGTGTTAACTTGTCAAATATTAGCTGAAAATACTGTGCCTGGAACACGAGCTTGCTGGAGTTATACTATCAGTTAACAAAAAAACAGAGGCGTTTTGATATTGAACACTCACAAATATAGGGCAGAGTGGTGCAAGTTGATCATAGAGGTGTCGCGCTTCATTGATATTACACGCTTGGAATGTCATCTGCAGACAGCTGTTGCCCATGCCGAAACCCATGCAGTCCATGTACACGTGGTCTGGCTTGGCTGCTCGAGCCCCCTCACCATCGTGGTCATTGGTGAATGTCTCGACAAAGGGGGAAGGGGTGTTCTTATCTTTGAAAACTGCAGAGAGCCAAAGAAGCGGGCTGATTACGTACAGTATTCACTCTCAACCCTCCAAACTTCACCAGTGGCCAAAATCTGTGATATATTGTACCAATTAGGAGTCAACACAAGTGTGGTACAGAACACTATAACAGCACAGCACCAATATGGCCGAGTTTATGTAGATCCATCGAATACTGAGCAAATATTACATGTAAGCATGGTGTTCATTTTGTGGACCTGTGAACAAAAGATGCATACATGGTGCTGACAGTGAAGACGTCCCCGCCCATACAAGGTTCCCCGTCTCCAAAAACCAGTTTTGTAAGATTACTCTACAGCTTTGATTCCCAAACTCGGTCCACCTACTTGGGATGTTTATTGCCACCTTCTCTCCTCTCCTCTTCCGTATATTCTGTGTCAAGCTCCTGCAGTTGGGAGAAAGTAAAATTTGATCAATTTAGGATAATGGCAATGTCCTTGAAATGCCTCCAGGATGAATCTCAAGGTACCTAAATTCTCTACACCTTACTGTCGACTTGAGAGTTAACTGGAACAGCAGTGACACAGTCATGCACCTTGCATCGGCACCGTGGCACCAAATATTAAATTAAATTAAATACAACTGGCTGTGATGTACATTTTAACCTCGGGGGGGGGAAGGGTTGGTGTGCATAGAAGCCTTGTATGTACTTCTAACTTGACAGGAAAAATACCCTTATGATGAAACATGTTCATCTCAGACAAATTCAGATCTTAAAACTCAAGACAGCAGGCAATTGCTGGTACAGGCATATGTGGCATGTGCTGGGTCCAGAGTGTGGGGGGGGTGTGGCACAGCTCGGATATCAAACGTTCTGTAGAAATATATTCTTTGATCTTAAAACGATTATTTCACGAAGTTTAAATAATTTGAGTACTTTTCAAAAACTGAAACCAAACAGAACAATGTGGATGAACAAAAAGCCTTCAAATTTCTACCTGAAGATTCGAGCTCAATAATGAATACAATGGACCCAATTTAAGAGAGTGTTGGCTGTCAGGCGTTAAGAAAATGCCCCAGTGTACCATCACTGCACCAAGTTCATGACTCCTGGAAGCGCTATCCAACACAATCTGTCTCGTCGCCAACCCAAGATAAAGCTGCGGAATGGCCATGTCCATATTACTTGGTTATGGCTGGCTATCACACACGAGTCGATGGAAACTGAATTTAGCCACTAGCAAGCGGCTTCCATCGGTCATAGTTACAGTCCAGTAATTCGGACAATGGACAACTGGTGAAGTCAAAATACTGCGCAAAGTCCAACATCCTAGGGCACCGTGATGAAAATTGCTTCAAAGCTCCAGCCAAGGAGAAATATTTTTTTGTCAATCTCTCACCTGAACCTTGGATGGCCTGGATAAATAACTTCATCGGGAATGAAGAGAGACTTGGAGATGCCTTCGTCCCTGGGGTATGGCTCATAGGATGGTGTGGAGAAATTTTCGCACCCAAGCCTAAAACAAGATGAACACGTCAGACTGGACTGGTCTCTGTATAAATGCCTACAGCTCATCAAACTACACTTCTAAGAACAGACACCACATGAAGCCATGACCTGTCCAAAGGTTACATCATCTATATTAATAGCCAGTGAACAAACGTACTTCTGATGTGGGGCTAAACGCACAACTTATAAATGACATGTACTAACATGTATGGGGAACCAGTCATCTAAGCAGTGTTTCCCCGATGGTTTTAAAATTTCTGCAAGTGTTTTAACACCTTGCTTGCCGTGCATAATTTCACAGGGCGTTCCCATTTGCCCCATGTGTGCATGTGCGCATATTTAATAGGCACCTTTCAGGTGTCAGTTTGAACAAGAGCATTTCACAGATGTACGCCCTCCACGTTTGTGTTCTCCGGTGATGTCCGTGTATTCAGTTTACAATACAACAGCCTTTCATTTCCTACGAGTATACTCACAGTGGCAAAATCCGGTACACCTGTGACTACGAGTATACTTATAGGCCGTTTTCTAATACTCAACTTCGTCTCCGTCCCAGGCTTCGTCCCCGAAACCAATCCCCGATTGTGGGCCTGAAGCGTTTAAATCAAATTGGATTACTGTAAGGTTTTGCTCTCTTGCATCTTATTTGATGTTTTGTGGCACTGTTAGACTAATACGTGCACTTACAGCTTCAAAGTCAGGTACTAAAAAAAAACAGTTGAAGCCTGAGACGGAGCCAAAGTTGAGTATTGGAAAACAGCCCTAGTTGGCAATCAATGTGTTAACACTCAAAAATATCTCACACTTATGAAAGAACATAGAAGCTGTTGTTTAAAGGAAAATGAATCTGTGAAACACTTAATATCCTTCCAAAATTGTTGCTCACTTTTGAGGTCTTGACCAAAAAAAGAGAAGGAAACTGAGTTTTTAATTACAGAACACAGCCTCAACATTGATACAGAGGCTGTGGAATGCTTAAGAAATGCTAATATGTAAAAACCATCAGGGAAACACGGTTAATGTGACAGTAACATACTGGCCCCTTTCATGGTAACTTTCAAGTCACAGGATTACATGTATATTTGACTAAAGAAGAATGCTATCTTCCTCTTTAAGGAGACTGCATGTAATAATAATAATAAAAATAGAGATTATAGAGTGCACTTATCCGTAAAACTGATCAAGGTGCAATTCCATTATTACTACCCCTGTTCACTGGGCCCATGAAACATTCCCAATACCATCTCAGCTCCCTAGGGAGTATACAGCTCGATGCTACCATTTCGGCACAAAGCAGCTAAATCAACCACAATAACCATCTCTACCCTCACAGGCAACAGGTACCCAATGACTCCTGGATGGAGAGAGGCAATGAGTGACAAAGTGCCTTACCCAAGGGCACTGGCATCATGACCCAAGGCTGGATTCGAACCTGCAACCTGAAGCTTTACCCGCCGACTATGCATCCATCCGATGCTCTTAAATACAAGGCCACGGCACTCCCCAACACACGGTATTACCAAACAAATGTTCACACAAAGTACATGTACATGTCCTGATCTGTTTGTATATTTTGTAATTTTTCGTTAGTAACCTGAAAGAGACTTGTCCTTTTTCAGTGTGAAGCACAGCATCATTAACCCTAAAACTCCCAAATCCTCCAATTTCAATACGATTTTACATACACCCAAGGAGGTTAGGGTTAAGGACACAGCCTGCTGAAAACATAAGGCCAACTTATTTTTATTAGTTGGATCACCAACCCGCCACTATGCAATTCTAGAAAAATTAAAATATAACAATTGATATTTTATTCTTCCAGATGGTTTTTTTAAAGAGTTTATGAAAAAAAATAGACTAAATTAAATTTTTTCTCTATAACGACCAGATGCTAGGGTGAAATGAACTTTAGAGTTTTATTTTAATTTTTTTTTCTGTCCTTGGACTCTGCAAAATTGCTGCGTTCATAATCCAAGAAATAAAAAACTGCTCTCCTAAAAAGGTAGTACTGTTCATTGATATTGTACAGCAAAGAAGTGGGCCCCTTTCTGGTATGCTATACAAGCATTGACGACCCCCTGTTGAGCTCAGATTCGGTCTGTTGATTTTTAAAACCAAGGATTTTATGGTATTAAAATGCTACACATTAATGACACTGAACGTTGGCAACCTGAAAGAGGCAAGTGTATTTCCATGCAATGCAGACCATTAGTACAAAACCTGCTGACAACATAAAAAGAAGTACAGTTCATGTACATTATGCAGCAAGGAAGGGGCTCTTTTCTGACAAAGGGTGCAAGCGCTAACTACCCCACGCTGAGCTCAGACTAGATCTGATGATTTGAAAAAAAAACAAAAAAAACAGGGACCCTGTGGTAAAAGACACACACTGATGACTGAACTGGTGAAATGCTGTTCACATCCCATTGACAAAATCTGCCGTTACTTTACCTGGGGAATACAGTAAGGCTGAGGGCTGTCTCCCCTTTGTCACTGTCTAATAGCTTAATGACTTCCTGCCTCCTGAAAAAGAATGGCAAATTTTAATAACCATATGGGCATGCACATTTTACGAGACAGAAAATGAGGGATATCAATTGGAGTGACGTCTGTTCCTGGCATAACTCTTTAGTTTTGTCTGGGGTCAATTTTCAACTGATCAAATAATCAAATTTCAATTGGCAAACAGGTACTGTATAATGTTCTGTTTCGTTTTAAACAACTAAACATGTTTGAATGATAGCGTATCATATGACAATTGCAAGCCGCATCACTATCAATTGTTTTGTGCAACAGACCTTAACCATTGCAGATGTTCAGTTAATGAAATTAAAATCTGTCCTTTCATAGCTACAATCTACAAGGGGGGAATAACATCAGCGTTGTGAAAGCTTAAAGACGTGGATTGCACTGGATTCTTTGCACCAATTTTGCAACACGTGTTATCCACAAATCATGGAAAATTCAGCAAACTTTGGACGATATAATAAGGGGTTCGGTTTGATATACTGATTTGCCACAAGTCCCTGTTTGCTTGTAGATATGGTGTCCATGGTAACACACTGATACGATTTCGGATAGGTCAAGTCCGAGATATCTGTGAAAGTATGGGATATCAAAACCTTAAAAATCCTCCTCACGCTGACAAATAAACTTGTAATTGCGTGCTTGGATCAATCACTAGGATCTGTCAGCTTCCCATAAATATCAAGCATAATATTTGGGGCGGGAGGGGGAGAGGAATGTGTAAATTTATGCTAAAGTATGCACTTGAGGTCACTGCTGTCCTACCTTACATGTACATGCAATGAAAGAATGTAACACCTATAATAAAACACAGACCATCAGCGCAGTGTTACAGCTCGCCACATTTTAGTGCAAGACAATTTATCAATGGTGAACGGAAGGAACTAAGCGACCAGAGTCTCACGGGTCAAGGCCGGGAGTCCAGGGGCCCCCTTTAGGGGGCTCTAAATCACTTTTCCGAGAGTTTTTCTTTCCATATTGATTAAGAGCTCAATTTTTAAAAAATTTTTTAGGTAAAAATATGAAATTTTCATAGAGACTACTGTTTTTCTGGGATTTTTGTGCCGGTCGGTGGGCTGTTGCATCAAGCTTAGTGCCGGACGGTAGAACGTTGTGGTGAAGATCCCCAACCGGCGTAGCAATAACACTGCATCAATGTACATATCCATGCGAAGATGGCAATGATGTCGTAATGTTCTGACTGTTACAACAGCAAATCGCCCTGACTTGCTTGATAAAACCATGATCTGACAAACGATAACGGGCAAGAGGGAGATTAAAAGTTCATGTAATAAACATTGAATTACTCAGTGGAAGATGAGAATAACACCCAGGCACGCATTGGCGAGTTGCTGTCCAAATAACATGGCTGAGGCTGAAATGAACAGGTGTGCCTATGAAGCCACTGTCAGCGGCTGCAATTACTTTCCATTTATGCATGCGTTTGTCGAAGCTGCAGCCGCTTGATTCAGACGGACTCTGGCAACAAAGCGGCGTCACTGGGGCAGGGGTTGCCTTGACGGCTATAACTGGACCGATGCCTATGTTAATTGTACACACTGCATAGCATACCTACATGGAAAGTGAGTTAAATGAAACACATGCAGCGTAACACGTGTTCTACGCTGTATTGTGTGGCCAATTTTAGAACAGGGAACACACTGTCTGGATACTGCACGCACCCCAAAACTGGACTGGGTCAAACTGTAGGAACTTCCGTGCAAAAAATCACAAGGCTTGATGGGTTAATGTTCCAGACAGGGGACCACTCTTGGCCCTGTGAATGGAACTGAATTTGAAAGGTCACCGGTTCCTCCTGCTGCTAAGCTAGTCTAACCTGAGCTTCATGTTGGCCTCTACCGTATTCAGGTGTGCCATCAATCCTCCGTACGGCTTGCCTGGTGTTCCTTCCACCATGTAGGAAGCATATTCTGGCCGCCACAGTGTTTTCAAATCCCCTCTGGGAAAGCGAAATAACAAAAAAATGACAAAATCCCATTATCCTTTCATGTTTTTCAGGCAATTCTTTGAATACTGAGGGCAGCATTTTTTTCTTTTTTGAATATGTCTGTCCTTGAATCTTAAGCATCTCTTTACTTTCATGGCTACAAGGTTATTTTTCCCTCCCAGAATTATTTGAGTGCCGGGCACAATGGGTGTGTAGAGGTTCACTCCGTAACCAAGCAGGAAACCTCATATTGTTTAATGAAAGGGCTGCACAGTGATAACTCAATTCACGTACACAATAGCTAGGCTTTTTTATTGTTGAGATGACATGACATGACAGAAAAACTGCATACAGCGGTTGGTGTATTGGTGGGGGGGGCATATCGCAATTTTTTTTTTATCAAATCACCTGCATGTTGGAAATAGTACCAGCACCAGGAATGATTCTTTTATGGATGGAGTAAAACAAGACAGCCTTTGAGGAAAAATCCTGTGTCTCCCTCCCAACTCAAAAACTGGATACGCCACCGGTGCTGTGATGTGGGTCGTGTATTTTCTTTTGTCAACCTGCAAGGACACTCCTGTGGCACATGACACCAGGAAGGCCACATAAATTTGTCACGACATGGCACATCATAATGCCACAAATACTCCAGTCATGGTACAACACACATCAATCAGGCAACCACTGCAGTTGTTTGAGATGCTCTTTGTACGTGGAACACATTCATTCATGTACTGTGCACATCCAGTGCATTTCCAATAGGTTCTAGTGATCACAACTCCCTCCAACTGTTACAGCTGTTTCCATGTTGCCTTCCCAACCTTCACTTGGATGGACTCAAATTTTCTCACTGCTAGCCAACAGTTGCGTAATGAAATGATGTCTACACTTGGATGGACTGAAGAACAGCAAACAACTTAACGCTTTTCATGATTTACATGTAAAAGGCGTATTGCTGAGAAACTGTTTCTTTCAATTGAAACACTCTTACTTGAGACAAAGATTTTTCACAGGCAAGTACGACGATTGAGACTTTGGCATTATTAGAGCATGTAAAAATTAGCAGCAAACTGCTTGCTGGCTACAGTAACCCATAAAATATACAAAAGGAAGAAAGCTGGAGGATCTGACATTTTGCCCCCCGGCAGAAATCTTTGTCAAAAGAGTTTGAGAAAGGATAGAAACATCAGATTCCCTCTGCTAACTTTTTCAACTCATGAAAGCATTGTCACACATCACTGAAGGATCGAGATAAACGGCACTGGTACATTCCAACTACACGCCCCTTTTTGGTTCAAATTGTGACGTCCCACGCCAAAGCGGTGAATGGTTTACAGGTGGTATTGTCAATGAGCTGAATAGTGGCATACAGCAGGCCTGCCGGCTGAGTGTACCAAACAATTTGGAACTGACTTGGGATTGTTCTCCTCTTGTGCTTGAAGTGCTGGGAGAATCCCCTCTGCTTTGAGCAAGAGCTTGGCCGTCTTCTTCTCGCGATCCAATGCCACCAGCATATATTCAACCTGAAAAAAAAAAAGCAAATACAATAAATAAATAATAATAAATAAATAAATGTATTTGCACCACATTGCACGACGTCTGTCTCTTCTCCATGAACTGACAGGTCACATGATCTTCTTGAGCCACTTTTATACAACACAAATCCCCATCATCTGAATGGTGGGTTGTTGATCACAGGCCACTGACTTAGTTGGTATTTCAAGAGAGTTATCCTACTTGTATCCTGCTGAATACACTGTTGAATTTTGTGCACTGTAGGCGCCATCACGGCTGGTTGCAGAGTCAGAGATTGACAAAATTCCTCTGAAGGCTTAGAATGTGAAAACTTTCTGTCGCACTTTTGTCATGCAGAGAAAGCATAACGGCAACTTGCGCACAAAGCAGATCAATTCCGGCATTGTGCACGATGACGAATGTTCCACATTCATTCGATGGAAAGAATTTCATTCAAAGACAGAAAGATTGTTCTATATTTGCCTTGCAAATACTGGGTATGTTCGATCTGCCCCCTCATAACATTATTCACTCTCGAAAGACTACTGCCGCCGCAACTGCTGAACACCTGTTACTGAAATGCTACACAAATAGCAAGGTTTAATGCATGTATGTTATCTAAATGTAGCTGTGCAGCCTCAGTGACGTGAAAATCTACACAGAAAAGGAGCCATTCCATAGATGAATTTTCAGTGTGCATCCTCTCTGTATGCATGCCGAAGTTAAGGAGGGTGTTTCACGTACATGGAGATTAAAACTGTACTGAACTAAAAACACAGCAAATGATTGTGGATGTGGAACTAACCAGAAAAGGACTACATGTAAATATAAAGATGGTTACAGACTCCTCTAGGAAGAAAACTGGAGAAGTGCAAGCAGATTTTTTTTTTTCAAATTTGCACTGTTAAGAGATTATGTACAATCAGACGCCAATGAATTTCTCTGCTCAGTGTTAGAAAGCAAACACTGATTACTATCACTAGTACATGTATGATCATTGGAAGAACAAATACGATTTTAAGAGAAAAGCTCTCCAATCAAAAGCTTTGGACATTTTCTTGAGACAAACAAAAGAAACACTGAAGTGGGATTCGACCCTGTGACCTCCAAAAACTGTAATGGTGCTCTGCCTATTCACCTACATCGTCAAAATATGTCAATCTTTGTTTGGCACTCTTTAAAGGCTTAATACCCAGGCATGACATCCAGCATTTCGGCACCTACCTCGTCCCCCCACTTGAGCACGTCACACGGACGGTCCTTCAGCCTGTTGTAAAGGTTTACAAACTGGATCAGTCCATGGCGTCGGATGTGTTCCTCATAACCACTGGCCTTGATCTCCTCCCATGACAGGGGCTTTCCAAGGGTCAGAAGACCCATGACACCAGTTACATGCAACTAGAATGTAGGATTTCAGGAACTACATGCAGCAAGACAATGGGAACAGATGGGGTTATGTCACTTGTTGAAAGTAGGGCTGAGTCAATTTGAATAAATCTCGATTTGATCAAATATCTGAATATTCGCTCGTATCGACTGGCAGATTATTGATAAACAAAGCCTGTACAAAATCAGTTGCAATAACAAACACAATCGTACATTATGATCAGTAAAATAGCTTCTCACATCTAGGAGTATCTCCAGCCACGATTTAGCAAGATTTAAGAGATGAACAATACTTCTTGCCCTGTTGAAAAATCCTATTCCTTTTAAATTGCTTTTATGAATAATGTACGTTTTGAATCATTGTAAGATTTCGCTCCCTTTTCTTTGAATCTGCTTGTTACAAGCCTCCATAGTGCAATTTTTTCATTTAAAACAAAAGAAAAATTTCTCTTCCTTTTCAGGAATTTTGCATTCGAATATTCAAATACAAAAAAAAATATTCACACATTCGATCGAATATTTGGTTATTTAGCACAGCCCCAGTTGAAAACATGTGGTCAACTGCACTAAAGTTTTTGTCGGTTACTTTACAGGCACATGTGGGAGATAGTACATGAAGCAAAAATGGCATCCATGAAAGACGTTAGCGGCTCTTTGCAGGGTTTTAATAAACAAAAGAAATCTCTGGGCGAGAAGAAAATTTGGAAATTTCTCAGTGCCTGCTCTCATCTTTAGGCAAAACTACAATAACCTACACATTCCCTTCTTGTTCATGCATAAATTTGCTGCTTTAATTTGTTGGTTGTAGTTTGAATCAAGTTGCAATGTCACTGTTTACATGTACATTACCAGTAAACTTGTTTGAGTAATCGTAGACTGTGTCAGTGATTAGCAAACCGTTTTTTTTTTTTTTCAAATTACACGTGCATTTTAGAGATTAAAAAATTCACAACGCCATACAAATATTGTTCTGGGTCAGCACAGTGAGTTTTCTGCATATAAACAGATAGACATGTACGGAAAGTTCTTCCAGATTTTATACATGTTATAAAAATGGTTCGGTGGGAAAACTTGACACAGAATTATTTTTTGGGGCCTAATGTTATTGTGTACTACCCCCCTCCCAAATAAAATATGGCATTGAGAGAAGAATCTGTGTCTTAGGCACAAAGTCTTAAGCTCCCCACCCTTGTGGCATACATGCACATGTCCAAACGTGGGGATCCATGGAAGGGGGAACAGGGTGGGAAAGAGGGTAAGGGGGGCGGGAATCCATACCCTCCCCTTGACATGTCCCCGAGATGTATCCCTCCAGGTGTTTTGGAGCAGGCTATTCCTCCTGAAAAAGAAGTTAGTGTACCCCTACGTTCCCCCTCCCAGACTGTTATCCTTCCCCTGGTGGGAAAGAATGTTGACTACCGATGCCGTCTTCTTTGGTTGTGTACACACTCTATAGAGAATCAGTGAGAGACAACATTTCCAATGCAATTTTTCTGACAGAATTGGAATGTACATAAAGAAGGCTTACATGTACATGTACATGTCTGAGCATAAACAACACCAGATCTAATCCACAACCTTGACACAATGTATCCTTTGCAATCAGCCACACTTTTAAGCCATTCTTCCTCAATTCTCCCAAATCCTCCAAAACCACCTGGAGGATTTTGGAGAACTGAGGAGGTCTAGAGATAAAGAACAAATTCAGGGAATCCCAATTTCTTGAAATCGCGATTTAAATCAAATGATTTTTTTTTTCAAATCACTGATTTAAATCAACATATTTAATTGGGGGGGGGAAGCAAAAGTGTTTCAATGTTTGCAGGTTTTGCACATTTTAAACAACAAATTCAAACTTTTAAAACCCTCAGCAAAAGATGGAGGGCACCATGTCCTATCCCAAAAAAATTGGAAAAACCCGAGTTACCCAGACAATTCCTGTTTTATTGGTTTTATGGCGGGGGGGGAGAGTTTGGCCGAATTACATTTACACCTTCGATGGACATGGTGAACTATGTGCTCCACGAATGTTTACTCAATTTAACTACCAAGTGTTACCCTGACAAAAGAGGAAAGTATCGGCTGTAATGTCTAATCTGCTGGGAGAGTGAGTTCCTTCAACTGTCACTGGCGAATATCTCCTACTTGCAGAACTCTTAGTCACTATTCCGTGTGACTTGGAGGGCTTTGACTTTTATGGGTTTGTCACGCTATGGTTTTTTAATGCAGCCCAGTTATGTCAAATTGGGGCACATCTTGTTTTAATAACAAGTCTACTTTCTCGATCAAATCTTCCCTTAAAGAGCCGTCAAACCTGATGCACTCCTATGATCTATGGGTTCAGGACCATGCAATTGACTATTTCTTGAAAAACAATCAGAGCTTTCACTGATCACTCTCTCATTCTCCTGACAAAAACGATGCAAACACATCGCGCGCATTCATGTGCATCACACAATGCGTGTGGGTCGGATTGAAAGTTGACTGCAACCTCAACTCTATGGGCCGTGTGCGCGCGTTCACTTGCTATTAAAAATTGTGCAAGGAACAAGCATGGTGCGGCAAGATCGTACGCATGGAAACGAGGTTGGGCTGACCACTGGATATCAGCACAACCATTTTCAGAAGCGGGGAGATGGAGTCTTGATTTCACTGTCCAACTGTGCCGACTGAATGCAAACCAACAAGTAATAAGTC